AAGAGTCAGAAACACAAGACAAGCTTCCAAGTTTTAAGAAAATATGCCGAAGACACTGTGTCCTGCTGGTCACCGTTCCCACATTGTTAAAGTAGTCTCCAGGACACAAGGCTGAAAGCTGGACCACACGGGGTACCACGGCTCCTCCCACCAGTGATGACACCACGGCTCCTCCCACCAATGACACTACGGCTCCTCCCACCAATGATGATACCACGGCTCCTCCCACCAGTGATGACACCACGGCTCCTCCCATTAATGATGACACCACGGCTCCTCCCACCAATGGCAACACAGGCACGGGTGCTTGTCCTGTGTTTCCTCCAGACGTGGTGACTCGTATTTGTACCAAAACAAAGGGGGTGAGGAGAGGGATCACAGGACACGGACACTGTGCATTGCACGTGCCTATGCACACATGCGCTTCCCTGGCGAGGCTTGGCAGTGTTTCCTACGTGAGACTCAGCTGTTTGCATGGCCACTGGTAAGCAGCACTACATTCTGATACACAGACGAATACCTGAGACCCATGCTGAGGAGCCTTGGATAAGACGGCGCTACTTCCCGCACTGATTTCATGCGATTCCCCGCAAAACCCCAGCAAGGTTTTTTATGGACGGGACAGACTTATCCTAAAACGTGAAGAGGAAGGGTCGGGGGATAAGCCAACCCACTGCCACCCAGTGGGTCCTGACTCAGAGAGACCCTGTGGGTTTCCGAGGGCTGTCACCAGGAGAGACCAGTCCCTGGAGGAGGGCCAGCGAGAGAGGAAGACCCTGGACGGGATGGACGGACTCAGGGGCTCCCACAGGGGCTGAGGCGTGGCCACGGTCAGGAGGGGCAGGCCGGCACAGTTTCTTCTGCTGTCTGTGGGGTCTCAGCGAGTCAGACCGACGGACAGTGCCTAAGCACAGACACAGCCACTCTGGAAGCAGTTAGGCAGTTTCTCGCACAACCGAGCAAGCAGCTACCATGTTTGCCGCCACCGCGGATGAACTTCAGGTGCTCCTTCCGGAGCAGTGAAAACCGACACCGACCGACACTGCCGGCCCCACGGCAACACTACAAACCATCCACTGCTCCGGCCTGTGGATGCTGCTTTGCTCCAGATGGATTCCGACTCATGGCCAGCCCATGCTGCCAAGTTGTTACTTTTATAGGAGCGGCCGCCAGGCCTGTGGGGGGCTCACACCACCGAACTTCTGCTTAACCGGCTCACCACGAAAGCTTCTCTTTGAGGGCCCCATGGCTGTAGCTCAAAAGAGTCCCCAAGGACGAGCAAAACCACAAGGAACAAAAACTCACTGCCACCGAGGCGATGACAACTCATGGTGACTACAGGATAGGGCAGAACTGTCCCCGTTTTCCACAACTGTCACTCTTTACGGAGCAGAAACCGCCGAATCAGAGCTAGTTCTAAAGACTGCACGGCGCGGGGCCCAAGTGCCCACGTTCTAGAAACGGGGAGAGGCCAGGGGAAAGGACACAGGGAGCAGGTGTCAACAGGCAGCCAAGGGGCCCCTGGGTGGTGGAAGGTCTTCACGCTCTGCCGTCGTCTGGAGAAAACCAGACAAAGCATACAGAGGTGCCCCTTGCTTTCCGTCTTAGACGAGTACGAGACCTAGGCCTGCAGTTTAGTTAAAAACCAGAGGAGAAAGACATGGCTGGATTCCTGGCTTGCCCACTTTCTGTGCCGGTACCTGGCCTGGAGCGGGTACTGCTCACAGAGGCTGCACGGTAGGTGGCACCTGAGCGGGCGGCCCTCAGGCTCGGTTTCATCTGGACGCGCAGAGCGGATAGCGACAGAGACCTGGCCGCGAGCCCTCAGGTTTCCCAGTGCTCAGAAAGCGATGCGGACTGGAGGTGGTCTGTGGAGGGTGGGGAGCATGAGGCCTGGGGAGGGTGACCACCAGGGTACACACAGATAGGAAGGGAGAAGGGGCAGTTGGGAAACGGTGCCCTTGGTCTTGCTCTGCTCGGGTGGGCCGCTTCTCCCAATGGCAGTCTAAGCAGACAGAGGCCTGCCTGATCGGGAAAAGGTCTGCATGAGCAATGGGTTGTTGAAAGGGCTTTAAAAACAGCCTGTTCGCGCCATGGTCTCGCTGCGGGTTAGACAAGGTCGGCAGTTCAAACCCACCAGACACTCCTTGGGGAGAAAGATGCGCCTGTCTGCTCCTGCAAAGACCTACAGCCTCGGAAACCCTACAAAGCTGGTGGCTCAGCGAGCTCTGTGCAGGGATCAAACCACAAGGTTGGTGGTTCAAACCAGTAGCCCCTCGCCGCCCCCCACCTTGGAAAGATTGACAGTCTGGAAGCCCAGTGGGGTGGGCCTGCCCACCAATGGGGATGGACTTGATGCAGTGTGTCTCTCTGGTTGGGCTCCAAGGGGGAAGCAGGCAGAGAGACAAAGCTAAGTTTCTTGGCAGCGCAGAGAACCAGGCTGGGAAGACAATGGGCTGCCCTTTAGCACAGAAGGAGAGGGGGTTTCTGCAGCCAGGCCGTGACTCACGCTGGCGCCCAGCCTTCGGAGCGCAGGAAGGACAGGCTGAGGCTGGCCACAGAGCCCATGGTGAGGTGGGAAGGGGCCTTTCCCAGCAAAATGACCTTTCTGCTCGGCATCCCCACAGGATGAAGGCCTGGAGCCGGGGACTTGGGGTCCCTGCACCTCAAACTACTCACTTCCTCCAGAAGCCGGGCCATCCTCGTGGCTGAAGTAAAGGAAACACAGGGATGGGTTCTTCCCCTAAATCTACGGCGCCTGGACGGGCCGGCAGTTCAATCCCACCAGCCACTCCCCAGAAGGACGAGGCTGCTGACTCCAGTGGAAGCCTGCGGGGTGGCCAGTGCGTTCCGACTGAGCTGCCCGGAGTCAGGAGTCAGAGCACGCCTCACGGTGGTAGTGGGTTGGGCTCGATGCATGCTGGTGGGGTGCTCCAACAGTCAAACTCTGGGGTGCCCACCTAAAGGCTGGCAGCTTGAACCTGCTCCACAAGACCTCAGAACCAAGTCCGGGCAACCTTTCTCTGCAAGGTCACCATTTTCCTCGGACTTGGGAGGTGACTCACCGGTCACCATTTTCCTCCGTGTGTGTACAAAGTTTAAATCCCCTCAGGCACCATCAAGCCCGGTGTCCAGGCAAGTTTCCTGGTTGCTGGATTTCCTGCAATTTGCAAACCTCCCTGGAGCAGCTTGGAAGAGAAAGGGGAGACACTGGACGCCACAAGGATGTCAGAAAAGGGGAGAAGATGTACCTGGGTGAGGGGCGGCAGGGGACTCTCAGGAGGTTTTAACCCTTCACCACCCTTATCTCCTCCCAACTTCCTTCTGTGGGGCCCTTTGAGGTCTGCAAGGTCTCCAACAGGAGGGCGACGCTGGATATGTGGAGCCGGGGTGCCCACAGCCCTTAGCGATGGGGCCTGGGAGCAACATGAGGTTTCTGCGCCCTGGGATCAGGTGACTCAAACAGCGACACCTGAGAGGAGCCTCAGAGACGGCAGCCCGGACACTCCCTCCCGGGGCAGCTCTGCTCTGGGGCAGTGGGCTTGCTCTTGTTTGGAGATCTGAACTTAGACTGGGCGTCGACAGTATTCAGTGGTGGTTTGTGGCCCTGGTAGCGGAGTGGTTAAGGCTGCTCACCGAAAGGCGGTGGTTTGCCTCTGGACACCCACTGAGGTAGCCCTCTCTCCACGGAGGGCTGAGTAGGGGACTGACGTCGGATCCTGACTCATGGCTACCCGCAGCCCATGTGCAGATGACCAACTGCTCCTTGGGGCTTCCAGGCTGTGACCATCCCCAGGCAGAGAGCTCTGGGCCTGATGTCCATGATGCCTCTGGGGGATTTGAGGCCCCAGCTTGCTTTTCAGCCGGCTGCCCCCAGGAAAGCGGGCCTGGTCCTTGAGGGTGCCGACTTGCTGGTCTGACCCTGGCTACGGTTCCTAAAGGAGCCCTCCTTTAGAGATTCATGCGTACTGATGAGCTAGCTGCCTGCACACTGCTTCAAAGTACCTGGGTGGGAACCGATGGGGGAGGGGGCAGCAGAGCAGGCCACATGTTGCTGTTTTCTCCGTGTCTGCGCACCCCTAACCCCCCCTGACACCAGCCCCCCCACCCCCCAGGACTTTCTTCACCCTGCACACCACTGAAGCTGCCTGGCTGTCACACACCCACCAACCCCAGGTTCTAGGAGCAGGGGGTACAGGGGCATTGGGGAAGGCCAGGTGAGAGGCACACATCCTGGGGACCACTGTCTTCACAGGGGTGCTACAGGGGTCTCTGGGTCAGGCCAGTCTGTGTTGGGGGGGGGGGAACCTAGGACAGCTGTAGCCCTACCTCCCCACAGCCATCGGAGGAGGAATCCCCTATCCATCAACAGGAATGAGATACCCAGAGTTGCCCTACCTGTTGGCAGGTACGCAGGATGGAAGGGGTACTTCTAGGGGTTCTCTATCCATTAACAGATGTGGGATACCCAGAGTTGCCCTACCTGCTGGCAGGTATGCAGAATGGAAGGGGTATCCTCCGGGGTCCCCCACCTGTCCCAACAACTGACCCGTGTGTAGAGGCAAAAAAGGAGGAATGGAACGCCCCTGAGAGAGCCTACTTGCCAACAGGTATGTCCAGTGGGGATATTGAGGGCCCCCCAACAGCTGACAGCAAGTGAGGGGCTTGGAGGCTTGCCTTCAGACCCTTATCTACCTGTTGGTAGGTATGCTCTGTGGGGGCATCCCGTTTCTACCTACTTGCCCACAGGTGTGCAGGATGCGGGTGTCCCGTGTACCTCTAGCAGCTAGAGGGGCAAGCAGGTGTGCGAGGTGAGGGCACTCCGGGTCCCTCTATGCGCTGACAGCCGTGTGTGGGTGGAAGGATCACGGCCCCCTACCTGTTGCCAGGTATGTGGGTGGAGGGGGGCGTCCTTGGGAGGTCCCCCGTAGGTGAGCAGGGTGAAGGTGGGCGTGCCCGGGAACCCCGCTCCCGCCGGCAGGTGAGCGGGCGCGGCCCACCTTGAGGATGTTGTCGAAGATGGTGTCTCGGAACTCGAGCAGCGCCTTCTGGTCGAACTCGCGGCCGTGGATGATGCGCATCTGCTTGAGGAAGGTGGACTTGCCGCTCTCGCCCGCGCCCAGCA